CTTTTTTTAACCATTTCTGTAGAGAGCTGGGAGAAACATTTTGAAAATCAGATGATCTAATTAGCTATGTGTTAACCTCAACTTTAAAAAAAAATCTTCCTTTATTATTTTAAATAAATCTTCCCCACTCCCAAAGTCTGCCTTTATTTATATTAAGTGAACCCAACCCCCAACATGGGGCTTGAACTCATGACCTTGAGATCAAGAGTGGTGTACTTGACCCAATGAGCCAGCCAGGCACTTCATCTTCTCTTAACCAAGTCTTGTTTAAGTGTTCCAGAGAATCCTGGTTATGCTCAAGAAGTAAGGGAAGTGTGTTCTAACTTGGTCAGCGGGAGTGTGGTAACCGCGTAATCGTAAGAATGTCCTTTGAGGACAGTGCTTTCGGGAATAGAGATGGGGACCTTGAGGTCCAGCTGCCCTCCATAGGGTCATCAGCCTGTGGTTACAAAGAGCTGGCAGGTCTGCTTCCATGCTCCCTGGTCCTCTGGGGATAAGGCACGGAGGAGGGAGGGCAGGACATGGTATATTTAAGTGGAGTGAGGGGTCCTGGGTTTGAGTCCCTCCTCTGACACTTACCAGAAATGTGATATGGAGCAAGTCACTTGACCCCACTGAATCTTGCTTTCTCCACTTGTGGAAACTGCATAATTTATAGATTTTAATTGTATTGTGTCTGTTGTCTTTTTCTTAAAGCCTCCATTCCCAGAAAAATCAGGTCTTTGAGGTCCTTCTTTTGCTGGGAGGTTTGTGGTGCAGGACTGACAGCAGAGTTTTCCTGAATCCAAACCCACCCTCTGGGCTTTGTTTTGAAAGCTTAAAGTCATTTAGCAGATAATGCTAGCTCGTGCCCAGAAGTTGGGGTGTGTGTGCAGGGTGTGGGGCCGGGGGTGGAGGGAATGGAGGCTGCCATTCTTTGTTCTGTTTTTGTTTTGCTTTTCGGTGAGAGGAGAATGCCTCAGAACAGAGAAAATTCTTTCCAGTAGCTAGGAAAGAGTTGGTGGGTTGGGGATTCTAGAAGGAGCCTCAAGAATTTGAGTCCTGTGTTGTCACAGTCCAGCTCTCAGGAAAGTGGCCAAACCTGGGAAGGGAATGGCTGCTTGGCTCCCTAGAGGCAGCAGGCAGACTTTCCAAGGTACCCAGTGGGCCATTGCAATGACATGTCAGGGATTATGAGTTGAGGGACAGAAAAGTAGAGGGGTCCCACCTCCAATGTTCTCCTTTGTTTGTGACCCTGGAACCGTCTCTGCCTTTTGAACAACTATGAGGACTGGAATGAGAAGTGAGAGTAACAAGAAGTTAAGGTTGAATCCATTTAATAGAAATGAAGAAACTAACATTTCTTACGGCCTTAATTTCTGGAGCAAAGTTCCTACTGGCCACCTGTACCTTTAATGGGAACATCCTAATGTCCAGCTAACAGAACTCCCGTGGGAATTAAGAGAGGTAGAGAGGTGGCTTATTGGACAAGTAAGCTCTCTACCAGTTGCTTTAGGACCCAGCTTGCCCGGTTACAGAGAGAGCACACGGAACCCAGTCTCCTCTGTGGGTTGGAGGAAGCGAAAAGTTACCCCTGGGGAGCAGGCTTCCCTGGGTTTCTGTGTGGGTGTCAGGCTCTGCTGCATCCATCAGCAGCCCAGAGCAGGATGCTGACAGCTGGGGCTGCTTCCTCCGTGGGATGAAGCAGGGCATGGCCTCTCAATGCAGACACTGCAGATTTTGCTTAGTTTTTCGAGGAGAAGAGAGAGACTCAAATGCATCTCAGGCCAAGCATGGGAGATGCTCTGACAGACTTCAGTGTCCGCCCTCTGACATGCCTCCACCGTCTGGGCCATCGCAATGGCAGATAGTGCTGGAAAATGATTGCTTTGTTCCTGTGGAAGTAAGTCATTCACACGGAATTTGGGCTACTGATCAGGGAGGGTCTTGGCAGCAGTGTTCAATAGAAATTCTACCTCCAAAAACTGAGCCATTATTTTCAATTTTTTTTTGTAGCCACATTATAAAAAGTAAAAAAAGAAAAAGAAGGGAAAAAAAGGTAAAATTCATGCTTATAATTTTTTTTAAAGATTTTTAAAAATTTGTTTGAAAGAGAGAGAGCATGAGCAGGGAGGGCGGGGGGGAAGCAGACTCCCCAGTGAGCAGAGACTCTGATGCAGGGCTCAATTCCAGGATCCTAGGATCATGACCCAAGCCCAAGGCAGAGGCTTAACCCACTGAGCCACCCAGGCATGCCCATGCTTATAATTTTTATCCTCTATCACTCAGTGTATTAAAAATACTACCACAGCAACATGGAATCGATACAAAATATAAAAATATATTACTATAAAAATATTCACGGGATAGTTTACATTCTTTGTTTGTTTTTCATTGGAATGTCTGAATTCCAGTGTACATTTTCTACTTACAGTGCATCTCAGTTGAAACTAGCCACCTTTCGAAAATGTGCTCCATGATCACTTCTGGCTTCTGGCTTAGACGGTGCTGGTCTCTACCCATGGTTTTCAACTGGAGATAATCCTCCCCCCTATCGATAACTGCAGATACATTTGACTCTTGCACCTGGAGGGAATCTATTGGCATCTACTGGGGATGTTCTCAGACATCCTACAACGCACAGGACAGCCCCCACAGCAAGGAATGTTCTGTCTCAAGACACAGATAGTGTCAAGGCCAAGAGACCCTAGTCTGAACACATCCCTACTCCCTGCTTTTCTCCCACAGCAGTGAGAATGAGGCACCAAGAGCCACGGGGTGTCAGGACAGGGTCTGACACCCAGGTCCCCTCAATCCATCCCCGGGGCAGTCCCCTACCTCGCCCACGGCCACCTCCAGCTGTGTGATGGTAGCCGTTGTCCCCAGCCCTTTTTCCAGCGCAGCTCAGCAGATGAATCCAAGTGACAGGTCCCAAGCCCCAGGCAAGAACCACCTCCCCCGCCCCCCACCCGGCCAAGTTCCACGGCACAAGAGTTTCCTTTGTGTTACATGAAAATTTCGGGAAAATTCATACACTTGTCGGAAACTGAAAGACTAGAAGAGACAAAGGAAACGCCGAGGTCAGCAAGAATCCTGCAGCTGGTGCTGGGCCACCTCTGGATGAGGCCCTCGGAGCCTGGGTGTCAGAGGAGAACATCTTCCGATCAGATCGAATTTCTTATTTCACTGTAAGAGGACCGTTTTCTGAATGTCCGGGTCAACGTTTATTCTCATCAGGCAAAAGTACTTTTCAGTGACGGGAAGCCACAGCCTAGAAGTAAAATGACCAAGCATGTTTCCCTTCCCTTTGTCTCCTCTGGGGTCCTACCCGCGTGCAGGTGCACAGACAGGGAACTTGCTGGAATGTCTGTGCAAACCCACGGGAGAAGGAGTGAGGGAGGGAGTGAATGAGTTGCATAGAGCAGCTTCGGATAGAAACTAACCTTTCTCCCGGTTTGCTTCAGGGTTAAGTAACCTGTTGAGTAAGTGTCACCTTTTACGGTCCTTCTCTCCTGACCCTCGGCCTCCTTTGGCGATGCTGTGGCTCCCAGCCTTCTGTGTGGGCCCAGGCCCGCCCTGCACTCCCACATTTGTTTGTGGATGGCCCGATTGCACACTGGGAAGTGACGTGGGAAGGGAGAACCCCCGGACGCCTTCCTCCCCAGCCCTGAGCCTGGCCGAGGGGCTTCCTGTGAGAGCCTCCGTTTCCCTCTGCCCCACGCTCCTGGAGACGTTCAGACCTCACTTCCTGCTTGGGGACCTCTGCACCCTCCTGGAGCCTGTCCACCCTCCACAGGGAGAAGGCGCCCTTCCTGCGTGTTTCTGCCAACCAGGAGCCCTTGAGCCCCTGCCAGAGCATGCTCGGATACCCCCTCAGCTTGAGGAGCCCCAAGCATCCATTTGTACCGCCCGTGTGGGTTTCCTTCCAAGACTCTTGCTGGGTTTTGCCCACCTTTCTGCCTTTTGCTGCTCACCAACTTGGTAGAGGATGAGTAAACAGCACTCAGACTGGCTCCTGCCATTTTGTGGTTAGAAAGGAGCTCAGAGCTGTTTGCGAATGAGATTGGCAGAGAAGCATGTGGCTGTCACATGTGGCTCCCTCCCGGAGCCCGGTATGACCCCCAAAGACACGGATGTCAAGGGGCTGAATCACACGGGGAAATTCCCAGCCCTCTGACCCAAGGTCGTGTCCTGGGCCTTTTTCTCCCCTTCCGTGGTCCCTGTTTTTCTCATGCCATCAGTAGGAGATTGAGAGGTCTCTAACTCCATGGCATGGGCTGGGTGTGGGGTCATTAGGACGACAGGCCCTGCTCTGGGACTTGGGCTGAGAATGAGAGGCTCATTTCAGAACAGAGGGAGAGCGTGTTACCTGGCTATGGATTCGTCGACTTAACCCACTGCCAATGGTGGGGACAAATCCCTGATCACACAGAGCTGCTAGTTTCAAAGGCACGGCCACGGTACCCACTCCCGGTTCTGTGCGGTTGCCCAGTGTGCTCACGTGGTCAGTACCTCCGCAGAGAGGGACTATTCTGTCTGCGGATCAAGTACAAACTAAGCCCTTTCCAGGCCCTGAGAGCTGCCCTCTTCAGAATTAAACCAGGACTATTTCTCTTTCCTATTTCTCATCCCACGATTTTATTTATTTTGCTCAATATACACAGATGTCTTTCTTAAATGAGATGAAGCCCAGAATCCAGGGATCTGGTCGAAGGACAGTGGGTTTCCCTACATCACTCACAAGAACTGGCCTTCCTCTTGCCCGAGTCCCGGCTCTCATTAGCTGGAACGCCAGCCCTGTGTGGGGAGGGAGGGCGGCCTCTCCATTGCCCTCAGCACCTCCGGGGCAGCTGGGCTGGGGCCGGAAGTGGCGGACGCAGCATGTTTCCGTGATCCCGCGGGGCTGTCTGCAAACCACCTCCCCAGGCAGGCAGCTTCGGCAGCTGGGCCAGGTTGCACGCCTTTGCGCTGCAGACAGATGCCAGGACCCACGTCAACGTCGTGATCCAAACACAGAAACGTACCGGAGAAAGCGTTGTTTTGCACCCAGGTCCTGGTTTCATGGTCGTCTTTGCTGACCCAGCCCATCACTTTGGCTGAATCTGAATGAAAATATGTTTGGACAAGGATGAGTGCCATAGGTGCTTTCATTAAAGTGATTTCAGAGCACCACTGACCCAGGTTCTCAGTGGGACACGAGGCTTCCTCCCATGGGTGTGGATTGGCCAGTGTCGAGGGAATGCCGCGTTTCACTTTTTTTTGCTCCATCTGCTCACTCTGCTGGCTTTATTTTTATTTTACAAGACAACGCAATGTTTTGGTGGAGGGTGAGTACCCAGGGGAGTCATTTTCAGGGAGAGGATATGAGGACGTTGGCACAAGGAAAACTTTATGTTCTAACTGCATTTATTTTTCTGTCTTTCCCCCCCGCCCCATGATGGCTTACAAAGTTGGAATTTCAGAAACCCTTAGAAAGACAGGCAGTTTGATTTAATGGTGCACAAATGAATCCTAACACCATCCGTCCCCAAGCTTGTCTATGTTGGAGAACTGTCAGGCCAAACAGAGTTATAAAAACTGTTCTGTGCTGTCCAGTGGCTCAGCCTCGGACGCAGCGGCCAGCCGCCCCCACTTTGGAAGGGTGTTTGTTGAATCCTGGCGCTGGCAGAGTTACCGCAAGTCATTCCTGCTCACTCCTGCAGCATCTCCCGAAAGGAAAACACACTCAGAGGCTGGGTCTGGCCTTTCTCTCCCGTGTGGTTTCCAGGCCTCTGCTTGGCTGTCACGTCCATTGTCCCCTAGAGCCTGGGGCAGTGGCGGAAAGCAGGGCATCACCAGTGTGTGGGAAGATGGCTTTGTCATCCTACCCCATTGCCCTCATCCCTCCAGTCTCTCCTGTTGGTGCATCTCATTTCCCAGCAGATTTCCAAACAAGGGACTACATTTAGATCATCAAAGAGCCCTTGCTTTGGGAAGGCATATGCTAATGAGGCTGGGCCCTGGACCCTGCAGATCTCTTACAGTTGCCCCCTTTCCTGCTGGGCCTGGGCCTTTGAGTCCCTCCCCCTCTAACCCCTCCCACTTGCTCACCCATCTGCAGTGCAAAGGGAGAGCAAGCTGCCTGTTTACCTTTCTCTTTCAACACTGCCACTGATCAGAAATCCAGAAGGGTTCAGATGGCCAGAAAGCTTCAGCCTGCTTAGGACACATGTGGAATGGAAGAATTAGAACTTCTGTGGCCCCAAGAGGTGGTACAGATGGAAAGCATAATTAAGGGCAAAAAAAAAAAAAAAAAAAAAGTTTTCATTTGATTCATAAGTGACCAATTTTTAGAATTTTCAAAGGGATCTGGAGGTTACTTATATGTCAGCCTCTGCTATGTACAAAAGAGACAGAAGGATGAAGCAAATGTCCTTGCATTCAAAGCCCTCACAGTCTAGAAGGGAGGTGAGATACCTGCCCACAGAGCAGGTAGGTGGGAGATCCCCACCCACACACAATGAGTGGAGCCTTCCTGGTCCCTCAGCTGCAAGACCTTTCTCAGCAGGGGGTGAACACAAAGGAACACAGATCAGAGTAATGAATGCATTTACTAAAAAATGCTCGAGGGGACCCTGAATCCCTGAGGAATTGGGTATTACATAGAACATGGTGAAGACTTAATGGGGGAAAAGTCCCCTTACCTTCCCAGGTTCCCAGGTTCCATATCTCATGATGATGGCTGAAAACCTCTTCTCTCGTAGAGTCAGGCCTCCTGCTGTGTGGCTGTCTCATTTCCTCCTCTCCTTTGTCTACCTCACACCACATCGCCCCCCACGGCCAGCCCCATGGACGGACGCTGTTCTCCTTCTCTGCATTCTGTTGGCCGCCCCTCTCCATTTCTACACCCACTTCCCCAACAGCCAATGGAGGCGTTAGGGGGCAGAGCAAAGGAAAGGGGTCCTTTCTGATAGTGCTGAACAGCACTTGAGTCTCGGGCTCCTGAAGAGCAGGGAAGGTTAACCTCCCCAAACTTTGTGACTGAAATCTCCCAATCCTTTTTTGTTCTGGGAAATGACTTACTACAGAGAACCATCCTTCCGCATATGACTTAGATAAGACCCAGTGTTATCAGCTGAATGTATCCATCCCCTCAAAATTCCTAAGTGGAAGTCTTGAGTTCCCAATCCCCCGTAACTCAGAATGTGACTGCATTTGGAGATAGGGTTTTAAAGAGGTGATTAATTTAAAATGAGGTCGTAAGAATGGGACCTAATCCATTATGACTTGTATCCTTATTAGAACAAAAGGTCAGGACACAGACAGCAGGACAACTATGTAAGCTGTCCACAGGGAGAATGTGGTCATCTACACGCCAGGAGAGGGGGCTCCGAAGGAACCAACCCTGACGACACCTTGATCTCAGACGTCCAGCCTCCAGAATTGTGAGAAATACATTTCTGTTGTTTCAGCTCCCCAGGCTGTGGTGTTTGTTATGGCAGCCTTAGCGGACTAAGACACCCAATGTCTAATCTTCCTTGGGACTCCCCGTATGACTCACGATGACTCCTGTGACAAGGCCAGACACAGACCCTCCAAATCCCTATCTTCATTTCATAAATGATTAGCTGAACTGTTTGTTCCCCCCAGCTTGCTAGACACAGAGGTAGACCTATCTTATTCAGCTGACAGACAGACCCCTTCTGATTACGGAATCATCCCAACTGTGAAACGACCCACCTGTGGCTTATCTACTCTTCCCTGAAATATCTAGACAAGGCCACTGGTGAGACACTCTGGTCTTTGGATCTGGGGTGCTTCTCCCACTGCAACAGCCTGAATAACATCGATGCCTTTACCTCCTTGTCTTTTGTATTTGACAGTTCAGTGCTGTGACTGGACGGAGCTGGGAGTCCATCCGGACCCCCGCTTCTCCATCCAGATGCTGAAGCCCCTATAGCCTGTCGTGCTCCTTTCTCATCTGGCTTTCCAGGGGTCCCACGCGAGTCCTGCTCCTGGTCCTCTGCTCTGAACATTTGTCTGTCGTAGCACGGTAAGGACTGAAGTTTGATTCTTGGTTTGGTTGCTCTTTTGGTTTTTGTCCTTTTGCTGGCTTCTGTTCAACCCTGGTACTATGGAAACTCTGAATCTCCTTCTCCGCCCTTTCTGAAAATCTCCTCTGTTTATACGCTTCACCGCTATGACGACAATTCTGTTTCTTATCTCAAAAATGGCACGATTTTACTGAGAACCACTTAGAATTGCAGTGGTCTCTTTGGGGTCCCTAAACTCTCCCAAAACTGAACCATATAAGAGGCACCCTCAAATCTCAGCCCTTTAAGATTTCTCCTTCTCCACGGTCAGCTCATTGTGCTTTGCAAGGAGGGAAACAAATGTACTTAAGAATGTCTCTCTCAATGTCTCTCTCATGAGTAGCTCTCTGCTTCCCAGCTCCCTATCATAACCCATACGATTGGCGCTTCCTACCTGTTATGGAAAGCTTGTGACCGAAATGCCCACCTGAACAAGGACTTACTCAGATTTTCATGCTCTTGGTAAAGAATTTCCAGACAATAAGAGTAGGGGAGAGCTTACAATTAATTCAGACTGGTCCTTCAAGGCATATTCACCCGTGATTGCTGATTTATAACAACTTGTGCAGTGGCTGGTGGGTCCCAAAGCTGCCACTGTATGATTTGAAAAAGCCAAATGGGCTTCATGAGGACCTTCCAAAAAAATCAGAACACCCCCGAGGCTTACAGGCCAAAACCACTGGGGGAGGATTTTTAGAATCCATTCCCACTGTTTTCTCTCAAAAATTGATGGCCAACAACACAAGATTGCAGGTGACAAAGAGATGAACCCACCTCTATAGATACAGACTAGAAAATGCGGGCAAGAACTACTTCAGTCTTGCTCCTGACTACTAACTGCTCTTTGTTACTAGTTTCGTAAATAGCTTACAACCAGAACTTAGAGATATTATCCAAAAGTGTATTGTTAAAAAATAAAATACTCCTCTCTCTGAAAATGTACACTCACTTAGCACCATGGAGACACCACTGCAGGAAAGGTCAAATCAACACAGAGCAAACCGAAGCCTTTACAACTTAACTAATTAGGAGAAGCAAGTCAGGGCAGTCTGCTTCCTCCAAAACTCCCCATAGAGACACTTAAAGATAACATCAATAAAAAGGATGTTGGACTTGGGATTGTCTGCCTTTAAAATGTAGAAGGGAACAAGAATCCAAATTCCATCTCTCTGATGACTTTCTGAGGGACCCTCCTCCTGTGTCTACACTAACATGCAAAAGGAGACGGTCATTCATTCCCATGAATGGGCACCCCACTCCCTTCCTGGTGGACAACGTACAGCACATCCTACCGTTAACACGTCTCATTTCCCACCCCCTCCCTTGTACAAAAACCATCCTGTGGAGGGACTTGATAACTGTTCACATGAATGCCTTTCTCTGAACCTCTTCCAGTCTTACTAGGATCCCTCACTACCCAGAATGGCTTTCTGCTTAACTTCACTACTCAGTGAAGCTTCTGGAAATGTTTCCAACTAGAATATCCATATTCTCGGCTCCTGCAACAACCTCATCATTGAGGTCCTTGGTTCCCTGCTCACAACTTTTCCCTTTCATGATTCTCATTGACCATCAGATTTTTCTTTCTCCTGTCAAAATTCTGAATCCCATTTAAAGCCTCAAGTACCAACTATGTTCTTGCCTTTCTTTGAGTGCTCACTCCACTGACATAGACCATAGGAACCTGAACCTCTCCAAATAGAAAAAAGATTTTTCTGTATCACACTTAGTATGGTACCTTCTACCATAATACCCTCCAAAACAAGAATCTTTTAAGGTCTTGAGCCTATAACTCAAGGCCTCCTTAACAAGTAAATCTCAGCCCTCACATCCGGTTCCTGTAATAGCCCCATCGTCCCCTTGAAGAAGTCACGTGGAATACCACCTAGTCCAAGACTTGAGGCCAATCAACAAAATAATTGCTTTCAGGTTTCTTCTAGTTCTGAAGGACCCCAGCCACTCTCCCCACCCACCCTATTTGCTTCATATTTATCAGCTTATGTTCTGTTTTTTCGAGTATATTTTTTCAACCCTGATGCATATTTTTTGACTTCATACAGAAAAGTCAACAATACACATGGTCCATCTTGTCTCAGGGGTTTACTGAGGTTCCTACTTATTTGGCAAGGGACATAAATACAGACTTGAGAGAGTGAACTCTCCTCTGCAGTTCTGTCTTTATCCAGTATGTAGATGACATTTTTTTCTGCTCACCTGATTTTGACAGCTCATTTATTACCACCCATCACTTATTCCAATCTCTTGCCTGAAAAGGTCATAAGCTTTCCAAAAACAGAATGCAATGATGCAGTCCTCAAGTGCATTATCTTAGGGCATGAGATCTTTAAAAGGAAGATTTTATTCCCTAAATGAATTAAGATTTTTATCAATTTCCTTCTTCCTGAGACCAAAAGATGACTCCAAGTGTTTCCATAATTAGTTGACTATTCCAGAAACTGGACTCCTAATTTTTCCACTATGGTATCTCCTTTATGTGCTGTGGCTAAGGAGATAATCCCCAAACCCTTTAGTTACTCTCCTTCCATACCTGCATTTCAAAGCCTCACATCATCTCTATCTTCCCTTCCCATGTTTGGATTTCCTGTTTTGGACTCATCGTCCTTTTCCCTTTTTATAAACAAAGGGAAAGAACATGCTTTGGGGTCTTCACCTATGTGCTTATAGTCAATGTGCTTTTGGAGTTGTCCATGATTATGTCATATCATGGAAATAAAGTGGGTCACCTACCAAAACTGCAGCCCAAGTCACTGGCCAACTGGAGGCTTTACTCAAGGAATTAAATAGTCTCAAAATTGAAGCTCATAATAGTAGCCGCACCTTCAACATTAAAGGAAACTCCTCATGTGACAAATATGCTATAATAGCTGCTTCCCAAGAAAAATTTCCTTGGTTACCTGCATATTTCCTATTGCTCAACCTTCTATAGAGATGGAAACTCTACTTAAGAAGCTTAGGGCACATCGACTGCTAACACCGCAGCATAATAAAACTAATTGGAAATACGTTGGATATTTGATCCACTCAGATGAGCTTTGGAGAGGCCCAGATGGTTACTGGGTCTCTTTTCTGTCCCTTAGATGACCACAGCCTCCATAACATTGCACATCATGGCAAAGGTAATCTTAAAGGTCTCCTCCATATTGGTGAGGTGGCTTTTGCAACCTTCACATTGAGCACGTAACATCAAATTGTCCCATGGGTCAGAAACATAATTGTGGTGAAAATGTAAACGTAGGACAAAGATAAGAACCAGGCCCCTCTGTCCCTGTCCTCATTGACAAATGGCTCGTATCCAGTTCCCAAAGTCTCATGAGCATGAACATGTTCTAACCTTAGTCTTATGTTTTTAAGATAATTAGAAGTGTTTTTTTTTAAAAACTGTTTTTGTTTCCAAACTACTGAGCTACTGCCACCATAGTAGCTTCTACAAAGAATATTGGTCACTTGGGGGAATCCTTTTGTTCTTCTCCAGTGATAGAAGAACTCATTTCATTGCTGAGGTTATGTGGGACATTCAATGAATATTCCCTTACTCACAAAAATTGCGCTGTCCTTATCACCTTCAATCCTCTGGAAAAATGAAATGGGTTGATGGAACTCTAAAACTTGAATTCATCAAGCTCACTGAGGAAGTCAACCTGCTTTGGCCCAAAGTCTTGTCTTGAATACTGATGATTCTTTCCTCCTCCCCCTCCAATAAACATTGATTATTTCCTTATGAAACAATTACCAGCTCAGTGAAGACCCCTTTGCTCCTCCTGGACCTTAGAAGATCCTAACCTGACATAATCCAATGTCCTTAAATACTGCCACGGTCTTATTAAATACTCTCATACTTATTACTAACAGGCTACATCTGCTTTTCTCCCAGAGGCACAATGGCATCCCTTATCTGATCTTCAGATTTGAGACCTAATTTTCTGGAAAGATACCACTGAACACTGATCTTGAACCAGGAGAAACAGACCTTATACTGCTCTCTGAACCACCATATTGCCGCAAAACTATGTGGAGTACAACCTTGGGTTTCTGTTTCATAACTAAAAAAATTAAAAGCCCTGTTCTGAATGGAAATCCATTCTAGGGGGAGGTTTTAAACTGAGGGTCCGTGAAAGCCCCCAGAAACAGATGACACCACAAAGGAGACTGCTTTCACAAGACTCAGAACAGGTAAATGACATTCCCATGTGTTGGGTGTGCATCCTGTCCAGAGTTTCACAGCTAGACCTTGCTTTACTGTACTCTCAAATAATGCAGTTTTTTACAGATTGAAGGTTAGTGACAACCTTTCATTGAGCAAGTCTATGGGTACCATTTTTCTAACACATTTGCTTACTTTTTGTCTCTGCATCCTATTTTGGTCATTCTCACGATAGTTCAAACTTTTTCATTGCTATTATATTTGTTACGATGATATGTGGTCAGTGATAAGATTCTAAAAGCTCAGATGGCGTTTAACATTTTTTAGCAATAAGGTATTTTTAAAATTAAGATATGACTTTTTTAAAGACATAATGCTATGCCATACCTAACATAGTGTAAACATAACTTTTATATGCACTGGGGAGGAAAATTTCATTTGCCTTGCTTTATCATGATACTCAGTTTATTGCAGTGGCCTGACCCTGAACTCACCATGTCTCTTAGATTGGTCTGTAAACGTTACTCTGCAGCCATTGACTTAACAAATGATTCACTCGTAGAACGTGATCCAGCAGCCCCAGGAAAAACTGCCTCCAGCTGAATTTGTGCACAGGGTCAAATCTGAGCCAGCAACTTCACATGTGGACTAACGGTGGCACAGATCTGGGCATCTCCATTGCCTCATTTCCAGACAGTTTTTCCAGCACAACCTCATGACGATGTTGAGTAAGAGGAGGGACTGGCAGTAATGTTGAACTTTACCTGAGTCATGGTGGTTCCAGAAGACAGTGAAGGTTAATCCCCTAACCTTTTGTGCTCCAAAATCTCCTACCCTATCCTTTTGTGTTCTGGGAAACAGCTTATTGCAAAGAAAAGCCCTGCCCCATGACTTAGATAAGACCGGCTGTCCACTTGTCTTTGTGACCCCACAAGAATCACGGGTGACCACATAATTTACCGGTAACCAGGCCAGACACAGGCCCTCCAAATTCCATCTTTTTCTCATAAATGATTACTGAACTCTTTGTCTTCCAAAACCAGGTGGACACAGAGATAGACCTCTCTTGTTCAGCTGACTGACTGACTTCTGATTACAAAACCATCCCATCATGAAATGACCCACTTGTGACTTGTCAACTCCTCCCTATAAACATGTGGACAAAACTGCTGCTGAGACACTACCCTGGTCTGCAGACCTGGGGTGCTCTCCCTACTGCAATGAGGAACTAACTTTTATTGAGCACTTAGTATGGGTAAGGCACTCTTCTGAGGGGTATATTACCTCATCTAACCCTCATAACAATTCTGTGAGCAAGGTATTATCTTTCCCCCCAGTTTTCAGAAGGAGGAAGCCAAGTTACGTAACTGGCCTTGTGTGCCATGTAAGAAAATGGCAGATTTGAGGTTCAACGCCAGTGTTCTTTCTTTACAGTCTGAGCTACGGCTATGAGTTCTCATACATTAAATACACACTGGTTCTGCCATACTAGTGATAGAAACCGACAGTGCTCTGCAAAGCCAATAATTAAGAGACGGAGGAAGGCTTCTAAGAAGGTGGCATTTGAGCATCATAAGGAAGTCTGGAAAAGCCTTTGTTGAGCAGAGATAGAGAAAGGATGCTGCAGGCCATGAACAGGCTCATGTCCAACAGACAACAAATCAGGGTCGGGACTCAGGCGAGCTTTTTTGGAACCAAGCTGCAGATTTAGGAATCATCCACGTGGGAGTGCTGGGGGCATTGAGAGAGGTTTTTCTGAGCATCAGTGGGGTTAGTGGTCGCACGGCTGTCCGTTGATGAGGTAGCAGGAAAAGTCAGAAAGTATCAAACACTTTTTCAAGAAGTGTGGTGGCGAAAAAAATGGAGAAAATATAAAAACAATTGAAGGGCCAGCAGGGTCAGGCAAGTGCTTAAAACACACATAGCATGGTGATGTCTGTAAGCCCCAGAAGTAGGTCTCGAGCTTTACTCTTTTCCAGGTACAGGGCTGAGCTCAACGTTATTTGACCCTCCCTGGATCCTGCGAAGTGGATACCGTAGCCATCTCTGTATTATGGACGAGGATAGTGAAGCTCAGAGAGGTTAACAGGAACTCGAGGGACGTGGAGCCCCCGGAACTCTCACCCAAACGCTGCCCGTGGGAATACCAACTGGTACAACTGCCTTCGGAAACGGTCGGGCATTTTTTTATAAGGGTAAACATGCACTTACCATAAACCCTAGCATTTGCTCTCTGAGGAACTGGTTCTCTCCAAGAGAAGTGAAAACCTGTCCATACAGACCCTTGCCCACTAGCGTTCATAACACTATTATGCAGAGAAGCACCACGTTGGCAAATACCCAATCGCCCATGAATAGGTGATGGATGAACGAGCCGGGACATAGCCATACAAAGGTCACTACTCAGCAATGAAAAAGGCATGGCCTACTGATATAAGCAGCCACTGGGGATGAATTGCAAAAGCATTATATTAAGAGAAAGAAGCCAGACACAAAGAAGAGCACAGACAGCGCGATTTTGTTTATGACAAACTCTTAAAAAAGACAAATCTAATCTCTAGTGACAGAAATCAGATCAGGAGCTAAGTGTACACACTTGTCACGGACAAGCATTCTGTCCTATGTAGATTGTACTTCTATGAAATGGATATAAATGTAGGGGCACCTGGGTGGTGCAGTGAGCTTCCGGCTCTTGGTTTCATCTCAGGCTGTGATCTCAGGGTCCTGAGATCGAGCCCCGTGGCAGGCTCCATGCTTAGCATGGACCCTGCTTGAGATTCGCTCTCCTTTCCCCTCTGCCCCTCCTCCACCCAGCGCTCACTCATGCTTGCTCTCTCTCTCTCTCTCTCTCTCAAATAAATAAATCTTAAAAATACTGATATAGGTTTAAAAACAAAAAAGAACAAATCATACATGCTGACATGGAATACTTTAAAAATAAGTCACAGAAACATAAGCCTAGAATTAAAAAGTAATACAATGTTATTATTTATTTATTATTATTTATAATGTTACCTATGTAAACACATGGGAAAGGATCCAGAAAAATCACAACAAAATGTTAAGTGAATGCCACTCAAGGGTAAAGGAGCAAGATGAAAGGAGCTTTTTCCTCCCAATAAATATATGTTCACTCTGTATTATTGGGTCTTTATAATAGTATGTATGTATTCTTTTTATACTGGTTTAAAAAATGTAAAAAAAAGTAAAACACAGACATACACACAAACATAGACACAAAGGGGCACCTGTCCCAAATCACATGAATCTGGGCCCAGTTTTGACTATAGAGCCAGCAGCTGAGCACCCCTGGGCACAGAGGCTTGGCTCTGAAGGGGGAAGCCAATGGCCTCTCCATCCGCTCCAGGCACAGGACATTAGGCTGAAGGAACAGATGTTCCAGGGGCCACCTTGCATGCTCTCCTGGGCTCTGGCTGTTGTCGTAGCTCTGTAGATCAGATGAAACCACTAAGCCAGACTGGAAAATGCTTCAGTTTCTCTCACTTTCTCATAATATTTGGCGATGGAGCCAGAGTAATTGTGAGTATTTTTTTTTTCTTGATAAGTATTTTCTAATGACAACCAATAATGAGGTTTCCTCTAGATTTGTGGTTCTTAATAAGGGGTCACTCTGCCTCTTTGAGGACATCTGCCAATGTCAGGAGACCCTTTTGGATGCCACAGGTGAGGGGAGAGGGTGCTGCTGGCATCTAGTGGGCGGAGGCCAGGGATGACGTTCGATCCGAGTCCTGCAGAGCCCAGGGCAGCCCCCACAGCCAAGGATTATCCTTCTCAAACTGTCAGCAGTGCTGAGGCTGAGAAGCCCAGATGCAGACCGCACTCCTTCTAGGACGTCCTTCAACCTTATCTAAGAAATAAAAACTTTGCTTCCAGGATGGAAGTTGATTCTTAAAGTTGTGTTCTGTCTTTAAATGTTATAGGAACCGTAATGTGGAAATAGAAACAGAATAGTGGTCTTCTTGTTTCTGGACAAAAGCTGGTCTTGGAAAAATACATGAAGGGTGACTCTGGGAAGTTAGCAAATGTGTTGGAAGAGAACTTGGCAATGATGGTGCCCTGGGCTCTAGCTTTGGCTCCTGCATGCACCTGCTCTGTGCCGCTGTCGGGGGTGGCTAGCGCATCTTCAGCTCTCCCTCTGGGTCCAGTCTTTACTCTCCAGCAAGTTCATGCATGAGCTGGTTGGGAGGGTTGCAGAAGCACAACAACATACAATGGAAGAAGGAAGAAAGAAGGATTCCCGTGCTGCCCCACCACTCCCAGCATGTGCTTCCCCTGTGACCTGCTTCCTCTCTTGTGCAGAGAAAGGAGGAGGTCAGGCAGGCAGGAAGGCTGGCCAGGGGTGAGTTCCCAGCTTGGGGACTGGTCGTGTGACACTGGGCTGGACAGAGGTAACTCTGGTGCTTGTGTTCACAGCAGGTGCTGGTGGAGAAGTTGCTTGCCAGTATTTTCAAAGAAATTCTCAGAGAAGTGGTGACCAGCCTTGGACATTGCAATGTCACTCATTGCAAAGAGCTGTGGGGCCCTGGCTGGCACAGTCATTTAAGTGCCCGACTCTTGGTTTCAGCTTAGGTCATGATCTCAGGGTTGTGAGACTGAGCCCAACATCTATGGGGCTCTGAGCTCAGTGGGCAGTCTGCTTGAGATTCTCTCTCCCTCTTTCTTTGTCCCTTCTGCTCATGCTTGCTCTCTCTCTCTCTCTCTCTTAAATACCTAAATAAATCTTTGAAAAAAAGAAAAGAGCTGTATTTTTTTTCCAGGATGCATTCTATCTTACTTATGGTATTTCTTGTTAGAGTAATTCCAGAAGCTAATATTTTTCTTTAATTTTAATGAAAGGTTTGCTTTTGTGCTTTTGTTTTGTTTTCAGAAGCAAGTAAGAGCAGGTGTTTTTTTAAAAATATACATTTTAAATTCTTTTTGTAGGCAATCCATGCACGTGGTAAGACATTTAAATGTTACAAATGGCATACAGTGGGGCGCCTGGGTGGCTCAGTGGGTTAAAGCCTCTGCCTTCGGCTCAGGTCATGTCCCCAGGGTCCTGGGATCGAGCTCGGTCCTGTGATAGAGCCCCGCCATCGGGCTCTCTGCTCCGCGGGGGGCCTGCTTCCTCCTCTCTCTCTGCCTACTTGTGATCTCTCTCTCTGTCAAATGAATAAACAAATGGCATACAGTGAAAAATAAGTCTTCCTTCCAGCTTTGGGGCAGATGCTCTTGTTTTTGTCACAAAATGATCTTTGGGGGACAGACAGAGTTAGAGGGCAGTCGCTCTAGCTGTTGTTTTAGGGAAGAACAAGGACACCAGCCAGACAGTCAGCCAGTGGCTGGATCAAACTGCTTCTAGGAGGAGGATATTCTATTCCGGACAGACATCTCCAGGGCAATAAATAATTGCACACAACTCAGGTAGTTTCCCTGCTGCTTGTTGATAAAAGAAAGTGGGCTGTGGTCGGGGGAGCCAAGGGATAGGGACAAGGCAAGAAATTGAGGCTTTTGGAGTTACAGGCTGGGGTTTTACTGGGTTTTCTTCTGGAATAGTCTGCACAGGTTTATTAGCCAACCACTTCTGTCTTCCTTTCTATGTCATCATTTTCAGAGTAAATGGTTGACCAGTACAGGGAAGTCACGTGAGTCAGAAGGGATTGCCTA